CAGCCTAAGGTGGGCCTGGGGTGTTCAGCAGGGCTCAGCACGTTCGCGGGAGCCCTGGCTTGAGGTGGGCAGTGCCGCCCTGGGCTAGCTACTCAGTGCTGTAAAAGGGGCAGAGCCATACGCCCCCTCAAGGTCGCCCTGCGTATTAAAAATAAGGCTCAGGGCTTCCCTGGTGGAGCAGTGGTTGAGAGTCCGCCTGCCAATGCAGGGGACACGGGTTCGTGCCCCGGTCCGGGAAGATCCCACATGCCGCGGAGCGGCTGGGCCCGTGAGCCATGGCCGCTGAGCCTGCGCGTCCGGAGCCTGTGCTCCGCAACGGGAGAGGCCACAACAGTGAGGGGCCCGCGTACCGCAAAAAAAATAAAAAAATAAGTCTCAGAGCCTGGGCCAGGACATACACATAATAGGTTGGTGACTGTAATTAAGTCCACCCCAGTCTCAGAGTTTATCAAGGGACAGCCTCCTTCACCTCCCTGGGTCCCCACCCCCAGCCGGCACAGAGCTGGGCCCCCAGCAGGGCTGAGAGGCTGACTGACTGATTCAGCGCCTCCTTGAAGCCTCTGAGAAAAGGACCCACTATGTGCTGGAATATACCACGGACCACAGCTACACGCTACACTCGCCCCTCGCCCGGGTCTGTCTCAACGTGCCGGCGACTCATGCAGCCACTCATCCATGCTCTCATTCGCGCATTCATTCGTTCAATGACCCCGGCTCTGGGCCCACCCTGAGCTCAGCTCTGAGTGCCCAGGGGTGAGTCCAGCCCAGCCCCTGCTTGGAGCAGCGCTCCCTGTTCCTTTCGGAGCCACAGCTGAAGGTGAGACTCCTCCCCTGCCCCTCCTCCCTCCTGAGCCCCTGCAGGCTACCCTACACCAACCCCGCCGTCTGTTTCCTCGGAAGGTTGTGTTCACTGCCCTCTCCACAGTCAGGGGGCCTTCCCCAAATCCCTGCTGCACCAAAGGCCAAAGTGCTTTCCTTTCGTCTAAAACTCAGCAGGCTGCTCACACAGCGCCCTGCACTCAGGCTCACGGGTAACACAGTCCTCTCCTGCCCACCCCACGCCCGCCCCCAGTGGGCAGCCTGGGAGCCCAGGGCACTCAACTGTCCCCTCTGTCCCCCCAGCACAGGGAAAGTCTGAGCCTCAGGTACCCACACTCCTCATCAACTGCAGGTTTCGACCAATCATCTGGAGAAAAGAGGAAGGAAATGAAAAATATTTCAGCCACGGAGTATATCCCAGGCACTTTCACAGGAGCATCCTCACTTTATCCCTCCCTGCGTGTTCTGGGACACTACGTGCTGTGCTCACGCTCTCTGCCAGGGCTTTGCCTACAGGTGCGGGGCCACCCCGTGCAGGGGTGAAGAGCCCTACACACCCACACACACCCTGCAGAAGTTGCAGATCGGATCCACAGTGGGCTGGCTGCCCTTCTAGGAGCCCACGGTTTCAAGTCCACGTTTATGGAGCGCTCCCCCCGTGCTGTGCGCCCGCCAGGAACAGACACGCAAAGGAGACACAATCCAGGTGCAGGGAAGAGAGAGAAGCAGATGAGCGAGGTGGTGGGCCGTGAAGGGGGTCTGTGTAAAAGGCTTCAGGGGCCCGGAGGAGGGAGCGGAATGGCAGAGGAGAGGGCGGAGGAGACAAGCTCTGGGGGGAGCAGGGGATGGGGGCTCTGCAGGCATGTGAGGGGGGCAGAGGAAGCAGCCCAGTGAGCGGAAGAGTGTGGGCAAAGACCCGGCGGCCCGGCTTCCCTGTGCCATCCTCGGGCCTCCCACACTGTGGGGAAGAAGGAACGGGATCGCTTGCTGAGAAGCCCCTGCTGTGTGCCAGGCAGGAAAGCTTGGTGGGTGAGGAGGTGGCCTCTGGACACAGAGGCCTGGCTGGGAATTTCCAGTCCACCACTGACAAGCTCTGTGATCTTGGGAGCACTTAGTTCCCCGGCTATGTTTCCCCATCTGTATAATGGGAATAACAACAGAACCCTCCCCCAGGGTTGTCCTGAGGATTGAAAGGGGTGTCCCACGGAGGGAGAGCTCCCAGGCCAGGGTCCTCCAATGTGAGCGTGCAAACACGTGGCCTAGGAGCTACATACGTGCAGGTCTCAGGGTTCCGTTGCCAGCCATTCTGCCTCTGCCGCCCTGCTGGGGCCTAGGAATCTGCATTTTCAACACGCGCTCCCCAGATGATTCTGAGACAGGTGGCCAGAGGACCACACTTTGAGAAATACCTGTTCAACGCATGTGTGCTGTTACGATCATTTATTTTCATTGTCTCGTCTGCTGCTCCGACAGCCCTGCAAAGTCTGAACTGGTGACTCATTTCACAGGTGAGGAAAGGGGTTCAGAGCGGCAAGCTCCAGGTCACACAGCCAGTGATAAGCTGGCATAGAATCTGCACCGGGTCTGTCCACCCCCAAGCCTGAACCCCTCCAAGCAAGATGTCATAGGGCCCCCTCCCCGGTCAACTTATGTCCTGGCAGAGGCCTTGTTATCACACTCCCCAGCCTACCCACACCGCCTCCATTGTCACTTCCCCCTCCAGCTACTAATCAGGTCCCACAGACCATCCCGTTTCCTGCCAGCCCTCGGGCTGCCTCCTTTGCCCCTGATGGTACCTTCCTGGCCTTGTGTCCTCCCGTCACCTCCTCTGCCTCCAGAGGGGTTGGAATCGGGGGCTGGGCAGTGGCAGAAATCGGGCAGGAGACCCTGAGGGGACCCTCAGGGGCACGAGCTTCCCTCCGTGGCCTGGACTACCTCTCTGTGGAGGCCCCATCCCCACCCCCGGGGCACACGCCCGCCCGGATGACCAGCCCCTTGTTTACTAATGACAGGAACAGCGGGGTTTCAGGGCAGAGTCAACTTCCTCCCAGACTGAGATCACAAAGGGATGGTGCCAGGACAAACCCCATCCCTGTCTGCCACCAGGGCTGAGTCTGAGACCCAGCAGGAAGTGATGCCCGGGCCTGGACCAACCTCACAGGCACACAGACCACAAGGGCAGGCAGTCGGCACAGGCGGGTGTGAGAAGTCAGGCTGAGGCACGAGGGACGGAGCCCTGAGCCGGTCCTGGCTTCTCTGTGGCCACCCCAACCCCTGGCAGGAGAAGGCAGAGTTAATCCTGTTGGAGAAAAAAGTGCTGAGCTTTTGTTTGTTCATTCCACGAACAGCCAGTGATGTGCGGCTTCCCGCGCAGAGGCCCGCCTCAGGACCATCCTCCCTCCAGCGTCATCTGCCTTCCCTGCTGCTGGAGTCCCCTCAGCACACAAACATGCCAGCACTGCTTTAAAACAAAACCTAAAAGCCGCCCATCTCTCTGCTCCATTCACTGCAAGTCTGGGGGAAGGAGCTGGGATCACACGCCTCTATTTCCTGATCCCCCTGCACCAGCCGCCCCCCTCAGTCCCTCATGTCGACTCCTTTCCCTTTAACCTGCTCTGGTCACAGCCATCAGTGACCTCCCACTTCCAGATCCAGTGGTCAAGTCTCAGTGCCCACCTTTCCCAGGCTGACCCAGCCAACACCCCTGGCTTCCCTCCTTCCTCCCTGGGCTCTCTCCTAAGGAATCTACAAATCTCAGAGGCCCGGGGCCTCCCTCCCTGTAAGCTCGTCCACTGCCAAGGCCTCAGGTGCCAGCCATACGCTCAGGGCTTCCAAAACTCACCTCCAGGCTGAGTGTCTCCAACTGTATCCACCCTGTCTCCCACTGTCTCCAACTGTATCCACTAAATCCACCCCTGCCCCCAACTGTATCCACCTATATCCAACTATCTACCTCCATCTCCAGCTGCCAATCTGACATGCCACTTGGGTGTCTAAAAGCCATCTCAAACTCAACATGCCTGGAACAGGGAAATCTTTATCTTCCCCTCCCCCCAAAATACCCTCCCACTCCATTCCGCATCTCCACACCAGTGTCCACTGACTTAGTGCCCCTGGGCAAGGCTCTCTCCCTCTCAGGTCTCTGTTTGCCCAGCTGTATAAGAGAGCCAGTTCGGGACTTCCCAGCCATTCATCCATCCATGGAAAAACAGGGGCAACTAGGCAAAGATTCCCACTACCTGCCCTGGGAGATTCCAAATCAGTTGGACTGGGGTGGGGCCCCGGTACCTGCAGTTTGTAAAACCTCCTCTTGTAACTCTCATGATTCACAGAATCCGAGCGCCTTCTGCCCGCAGCTTCTTGGTTCTAACGGTCCCTGGTCCTGCCTTCAGCTTCCCCATCTTCCACGCCCCTCTTGGACTCTTGTTTATCTCAACAGCCATGTGAGGCTGAGGTTATATTATCCCCATTTTACTGAAGAGGAAACTGAGGCTGGGGTGGAGGTGCATGACTGGCCCATCAGGCACCTGGCTCAGCCTGATATTCCTAAACCCAGACGGCGCACCCCTAACCCCCAACACCCAGGCTGGCACCTTACAGCTGGAACCCAGGCCCACGCCCACCGGAAGTCAATCCAGTTCACAGACCCAGGAGCTGCAGCCTGTTCCCATCTCCTACCCACCCCACCGCAGGGGCCCCTGAGGCCTCCCCAGCCACTGCAAAGTCTGCCCCTCCCCCAGCATGTCATGGAGTCACCTGGGAAAATCTGGCTCTGGGCCCAGGGTGACCCAGGCTGGATTTCTGGCTGTGCTACGCCCCAGCTGAGTAGACAAGCACCTTAAACTTGCTGAATTTTTAGTGTCATGAGCTATAAAGTGGGGGTGACGGCACCTGCCCTCGGGGTCACAAGGAAGATGAACGAAGCCCCTCGGCAGGTGTTGGGCTCAAAGCCCCAGAGCTGAGGCCTGGGGTTTGGGCCCGAGTTAAGCGTCCCGGCCAAGTCCAGGGCTAGGCCTCCATGGGGACAGCCCAGCGGGGCCGAGGAAGCCGCCCACCACGGGGCCTGCCTCTCTGCAGCCAGCCCGGCCCTCACAAACGAACAATAACAGGAAACCATCCTTGGTGGGGGTGGGGGGGTGCACATGGGCCAGGGCCAGCTGGAAAACCTGAAGGGGCGGCGGCCAGGCCTCCCTCACCGCCGGGTGGGGCTCCCCTCCAGAGGCTGTTGGCCGAGCTCTGCACAGTTTCACGGCACGCTCAGCCCTGGCCGGACAGCCAGACGGAGCGGACACGCCTCTCAGCCCACAGGCAAGGTGAGTGAGGGTCCTTGACTTCCCCATACGTAGAATGGCCATCATCGGCTCCCAAGGAAGCGCCACTCCTTGGGGTAGACTGGGTCTCCTGGCTCACAACAGAGCTGGGAAAGGTGCGCCCAGAGGTGGTGCCGCGGACACGAAGGGATGTTCTCGGGGAAGGGGTGAGCTCGGCTCTCCCACAGGTAGACTCCCAGACTCAAGGGCCCACTGGCTTCTGTGGGTGCTGGGCTCAGATGCTCAGAGGGCAGGATTCCGCCTGAGTCGCCCAGCATGCCAGGGGCAGAGGACTGGCACCCAAGTGGTGCCCCTTCCCCCACGAGAGAGGATTTACCACGGATGACATCATCCCATCCCCTCGAAGGCTCTGTGCTGGGATTGGGAGAGGAGCCCTGGAAGGGGAGCTTGGAGCCTCGCCCCTCCCTGTCAGCCACTGCCCCCATTTTCAGTACAGGCAAGCTGAGGCTTGACTCTGGGCACCTGAGGCCCTACCTGTGGAATCCCCTCCCCTCCTTCCCCAGACACCGTAGGGGCTGGTTATGAGCTGCGGAAGCTGTAGTTTTTCTCCCCCAAAACCGAGGTACCCGTAGATTGGGGCCCAAGGGACCCAGCAGCCCTCATAATTTTAGAGAAGTTCCCCCCAAAGACTTGGAGGCAGGCGGTCTAGGGTGAGAGCCGTCCTGGATACAAATCCCAGCTCTACCACTCGCTTCCCGCGTGACTTTGGGAAAATTACTCAGTGTCTCCAAAACTCAGTTTGCTTCTCTGAACAATGGAGATGGCGATTCTTTTTGCGGTTCATCATGAGACCTGGAAATGATGTCTACAGAAGGCTCTGAAGCACTGGAGCTCACTACTTTATATTACCAGCAAGCCGATGAATTAGATACAGCCTTTCTCCATTTCTCAGTTGAGGCAACTGAGATTTGGAGCAAGAACTCGTACCCCAAAGCCCAGGCTCTTTCCAGAACCATGCAGCTTCTCATGTGCCAGCCTCCTTATCTGTAAACTGGATAAAAGGGTCTTTTCATGAGGCAGTTAAAGGAAGCGATATACACACTTGGCACTGGGAACGGATCGTAGGAGGGGAGCTTTAAGAAATCACAGCTGAATTTACCTGCCACCCAGAGCTGACCATGGCTTGAGTGTCACAAAGGTTTTGACCCCTGAGGTCGGTCAGTCCCCAGTAGGTGAGAGATGCGTCAGCTCATCCTCCAGCGAGCGCTCTGGGCAGCTACTCCAAGCCAAGCACTATGCTTGTTCCTCACCCCCACCCCATGGACATTTCTGCCATGGGTGGTGGGCAGACAGGATCCTGACAGGAGACGAAGGGCATTCCAGGGGAGGCAGGGAGCGTGGGCAGCTCATTGGACCTGGAGAGGCCAGTGCAGCCAGAAGGTTTTCAGAGCAGGGAGTGGCAGGAGGGCCAGTGATGCAGAAGGCCATGAGTAAGTAGCAGGACCGAGAATTTTGGTTCATCTTCAGGTGACCAGGTGATGGGGAACAGCGGGACCCTCCCATCTGGCCTGAGTCCAGCCATGTGTGGGTGCCAGCCTCGAGGTGATCAAGGGGCCCAGGAGCTTCTGCGCCCCCAGGCAGCCCTGCTAATTCTGGCTTCCAGTGGTGAGGGGGTAGGCGAGGGGCCCACTGGCCTTGCAGGGGTTAAGCTGCCCACCCTGCAGTCTAGACCTGAGCGATTGTGCTGCTGAACAAGGGCCGGACATGGGAGCAGGAAGCTGGAGGGGCCATGCTTATTTTCTCCCATAGCTGGATGACTCACAGCTCTGCTGCTGCCTCGGGGATACACAGTGGACACACTGGCCACTAGCTCAGGGAAAAAAATCTTGAGCCCCTTGCCCATGGGATCCATCCCTTACTACTTCCATCACCTCTCTGCACCCCCTCGGCATCCTTGAAGCTACTAAAAGAATTCCCATTTGACAGACACGACCACAGAGTCTGAGAGAAGCTGAGCAGCCAGTCCAAGGTCACACAGTTACTATGAGGTGAAAGCAGGATATGAATGAGGCCAGCCCCTTCTGACCCCACTGCCCTGTCACACTCCATAGGGAAGCCTGGAGAGGGGAGAAGCAGGGGAGGATTGAACCTGACAGTTCAAGCCACAGAAGCAGGCACCAGGATGAGCCAGGAGCCCAATGATCCTGGGGGAGGAATGTTCTAGGAGACAACTGCTGCCCTCAGTAGCTTAGCTTCTGGCTGGAGAGATACTGACAAGCCCATCGTAACCCAGATCCAAGCTGATGTTGGGTGGAGAAATCACAGAAGACTCCCTGGAGGAAGAGCAGGAGCCCCAGAGGATGCTGGGAGGTCTTGGGTCTGCTCTCTGAGCTTCAGTCTTCTAATTTCTCCAGGGCAAGGGATGGACCACATAGTCTCTAAACTGATTCAGGGACCTCCAGATTGTCTGCCACAGCATAACGATCAGATTCTGGCAGGTGCAGACACTGGGAGGAGGGGGAAGTAGGGCCCATGCGGCTGGGCCAGGAAGGCAGTGAATGAGATTTCCTTCTAGAGGAGAACAGACAGGAGCAGGAGGTGGGCCCAGGGCAGAACCAGGAAATGAGGTCAGGTGTGAGTAGGCCAGTCAAGCCCACAGCTGCCAGGCCAGGCTGAGTGGGTAGGTGAGGGTTGAGACACCCACACATTTACTAAGCACCTACTGTGTGCTGGGCTTTGTACCCATGATCTCATTCAATCCTCCATTAGAGATGAGGAAGCTAGAGCTCAGAGAGGGCAAGGAATGGGCCTAAGGCCACACAGCTCATGAGCAAACAGGCAAGTGTGTGAGACTTGTTGCCGCCAATGACTTCCTCAGAGCCCCAGGCAAAGTCAGAAAGCCCAGAGGAGGCTGGAAAAGGCTCTCCCAAGGGTGGGTTTTCTCTCCTTCAAGCTTTGAGCTGCCCCATTAGGAGATAAGGGAATGACCCAGAGACCCCAGGACAAATTTGTTTCGAATCGTACACTAGGTCTGGTGAGTTGGTTGTATCTAGCTCAAAGACTGTATTGAGGATTCAGGGGCTGAGTTCAAGTTCGGTGGGAAACTAACACTGTAATTGATTACTGATGTCTGCCGTGAGTATGTGAATGGCAACCCATGATCTCTGTTTTGCCAGCCCTGTTTTGCACACGGGTGTATGTTCATCAGGGACCCATAAGAAGGATAATCTGACAGTCCTCAAAGGATCAAAATCCTAATGGTGGTGTGCCTGACAAAGTGATGGGTCATTAGAGATGCTGTATGGTGACAGGAGGAGCTTCTCTGAGTTCTGTCAACCACTGTATGTGCTCTGACCACCCAAGGTGTTGTAGGCAGATTTGTGCAGATTTGTTTTAAATCCTCTGAGGAAGGAGTGCAAGATCAGAGCTGGAGACCGAGGCAGGCTGACAGACAGCAGTAGGGACACCGACACCTCAAGGTCCTCTGGGCCTTGAGTTCACGCCGCTGGATGCTGGGATGAAGCGGATGCCTGGTCAGAGACACTCGCGCCAGCAGGCAGAGGCTGCGCTGGAGCGGGAGCCAATCAGAAGACCTTGTGGGGGGTACGGACTGGGGCTTGAAAAGAAGCAGAGCACTCACCCACGGGCCACAGCAAGGAAGGGCATTCGGGCAGAGGGAACAGCCTGTGTATTCCATAAACGTCCAGTTCTCCTCGAGGCTGGGTGGGGCAGGGAGGTGAGGGAGAGGAGAACCAGAGGGGTGGGCAGGGACACTCCGTGCTGGGTCTTGAATGCTGGCTCAGGAGCTAGGCTTCACCCTGCAGGGTGTGGGGAGCCAGGGAGGAGCGGTCAGCAGGGGAGCAGCGTGGGCAGCTCTAAGGGGAGCTGAGGGAGGGAGGCTGTTGGCAGAACCCGAGGGGAGAGGATCGGGTCTAGGACCCGCAAGAGCAGGTCACAGGGCTGAACTGAGCCCCAAACCAGGATAAAGCCCCAAGGGGCCAGCTCATAGCTGCCCGGCCCCACGGCCCCTGGGGACTCACCCTTCATCCTCCCAGTGCCGGTGATCCCTGAACGAGTTTGGGGGTCACTGGCTCCAACCTCGACCCCAGACTGAGGCTCGAGGTGTGGAGTGGGAGGGCGGTGGGAGAGCCGCCCAGGGCCACACAGGGGGCAGGGGCTCTAGCGCCCTCACCCCCACCCCTGCAGGTTCTGGGCCTCTCCTCCCACCTCCTGGCCCCTCATCCCTGACCCAGGGCCTCTGGGCTGCAGCCCAGAGCCTGCAGGAGGCTGGGCTGGGACTGAGCGTCCAGTCCACCCTCCGCGGCTTTGCCTGGGGCCGGGCTCTGCTGCCAGGTCTTGTCCTAGCTGCTGGCGGGCTTGCTGGGCGGGAGAGGGGCCAGCCCCGCAGAGAGGAGACTCTTCGGGGGACAGGGGTGTGTGCTTGTGTAGGCAGCACGTTTGTGTGTCCGTGTGGCCTGAGGATGTCATGTGTGTATCCCTGACCTGGAGTCTTCCTCTACCCCACCCCCAAGGGCCCTCCAGTCTGCTCAATAAACGCCCAGACTTAGCCCCTGAAACCTAAGGCTTGAACAGGGTCGGGGCAGAACCATCCCGGCCGGGGGCGTTTGCCAGGCTGCCCGCTGAGCAGCTCCCAGCTGGCCCAGGCTTCCGAGGGCCCATTTAACTACAAAAGGAGGAGCCCCAACCCGCCCCCCTTCCATCTCCCTCTGGGTCCCCCTGGCTCCTTCTTTTAAAGAGCACAGAGGTGAGCGGACCTCACAGCCCCTTTGAAAAGGCCAAACGCCAGTGACAGAGGGGGTCCTGAGAAACAGACCAAAGGGAGTTTTGCCTACTGTCTCACAGCAGATCAGAGAGAGGCAGGATTCACTGCTGGGCTGAGACCGTCCGAGAAATCAGGGCCCTCCCCTCTCTGCCCTCTCACGTCTTCCTCTACGCCTCCATCAAAGCACCACAACTTGAAACTGTGTTTTTTATCAAGTGGTTAATGTCTCTACACAAGGGTGCAGCCTGTGTAGGCTCCC